AATTTCAACAATCGACAAAGGAGACGAATCTTTATAGAGCTGGTTTATTAGCTACAAAGTTGCAAAATGGAAATGATGGCAGAGTTGTGAATCCTTGAAACGCGGAGTCCAGCTCTGGCCACGCTGGCTATCAGGGCAAGAGCAGGCACCTCTTTAGAACTTGGTCATCAAAAGAAAACAGTAGTTTTCTTGCTTTACCCTTACAATTAACTGAAACAATACTGGATGCTTTGATGACTTTAGAAAGCATTGCTGGCTCAGAGACAGGTTTTCTTTGCCTGCTTTTCCTGTCTTTGTTTTAGGTATTGTTTGGGGCTTTTAGTGATTTGGGAGTTCATTTGTCCATTTTTTTTTTTTTTTAGACAGAGTCTCACTCTGTTGTGCAGGCTAGAGTGCCATGGCATCAGCCTAGCTCACAGCAACCTCAGACTCCTGGGCTCAAGCGATCCTTCTGCCTCAGCCTCCCAAGTAGCTGGGACTACAGGCATGCGCCACCATGCCCGGCTAATTTTTTCTATATATTTTTATTTGGCCAATTAGTTTATTTCTATTTTTAGTAGAGACGGGGTCTTGCTCTTGCTCAGGCTGGTTTTGAACTCCTGACCTTGAGTGATCCTCCCGCCTTGGCCTCCCAGAGTGCTAGGATGACAGGCGTGAGTCACCGCGCCCGGCCTATTTGTCCTTTGGGTCGTGTCCCTTAGCAGGGGGTCACGCTACCCAGCAGATCTGCTGCAAGGAGCCGTGTCGACACCGCGAGTCTCTGCTTGTCTCCCTCAGTGTGTGCCAACAGTCGCCTCCGCCAAAGGAGAGGCATTAACTGCTTCACCAAACCAACGAGCAGGGCTCCTGTGCTCTCACCTGGGGCTTCACCGTGAGGATTCGAAAATCATTATTTATGTCCTTCAAAGTCAAGTGGGATGACAAAACCCACTCCCTCCCGGGGCCATAGAAGATGTCAAGCTCACGAGGGGCTCTGAGTGTGGGCCGTGGAGGAGGTCGGGGTGCAGGGCGGAGCCTGGACCAGGTGCCTCCAACCTGCCGCAAACAGCCCTGGGCACCACGGGCCTATGGGGCCGATGAGAAATGAACCAGACGCTGGCCCTGTCCACGTGGCTGGGGGAGCAGAAGGGGACCCGCTGTCACCCGCAGCCCTCCAGGACCTGCACCTTCTCCCTTTCAAGGACTTTTGAAGGGTGTGAACCCCTGGACCATCTGAGAACTCTGGATTCATAAGTAAAGTGGTTGCTGTCTTAAACCACTGATGTGATATTTAGTGACTAATGTGCTGTGCTCTTCACAAAGCTCACATCATATTGTTAACAAAAGAGTTGGGCCGAATTTCCCTCCTGGGAACCCAAGAGCACTGGGCTGAGGAGGGTTGGTTTCTGCTGAGGACGAGGCCCAGCTGCCTCCCTTCCCCTCCTGCCCCTGAAGACAGGGAGGGCCTGACCCCCCCACCCCCGAACTGGGGAGGCAGCGCTTCACGAAACTTACCGTGGTTTCGGCAAAGGCAACACAAAGATATGGGGGCAACATTCAAAAGGGAAAAAAGGCACAAGGAAAAAATGGCTCCCCCCAATGCCACCCTGGATCTTGTGAATGGTCCATGTCTCTCCGGGAACCCGGCAGCCCTGGCTCTGGGGCTGTGACGGCTGCAGGTGTCATAGATTCGCTTTGTCGAGCATTTTTGCTTGGCCGCCTGCATGAAGCTGAAGAGTCATGCTCTCAGACCGCTGCCTGTGTGGAGGGCCAGGAGAGGTGGGGACAGAGGGGACATGTTCCCAAGAGAGAAGGGAGGGGAGACAGCCCACAGTGCGCGACGGGGACACCCAGCAAGCCAGCGGGGAGCACAGCTGCCAAGGCCCGAGCTGACCACACCTGGCGTGTCATTAAGCAGGTGTTCCATGAGTTCACACCATGGGAGAGAGGGGGCCGCTGGGAATTTGTCTCCATGCTGGGTTTGAGTTGGCCCTTCTGGGTGCGGCGGTTGGTGTGTTCACAGGACGTAAGGTGTGGGCCCATGGAGTGTGGCAGGAGAAAGTGGACAGAGGAGGGATAGCCCCAGGACTGAGTCCCAGGATGCCAGAGCCTCTGGCGGAGAGTGGCGAAGAGCCAGCACAGGCCTCCAGGAGGGGTGGGGGCAGGGCAGCCTCAACCACACTGGAAGGCCAGGTGAGGCCAGTACTAGGAGCCAGTGAGAGCCCTGGGAGGATGGCCCAGAGGGCGTGGGCACGAGAAGCATGATGCTAGTGTCTGGAGGAGCGTGCTGCGCCCCTGGCTTGCCGGGCACAGGCTCTGGGCAACTTTCAGGAGAAGCTTGCAGCGAAGGGAGCAGGGTGAAGGGGGCTTCCTAAGACCGGAGGCAGCAGGCGTGCTGGTGGCATAGCCCCAAGGGCATGGCCGAAGGCGGGGACGGGCACCTCATTCCGCATAGCAGGGCAGAGGAGGTACAGGTGCTGCTGAGCCTGCCATTCGGTGTGGTGAAGGCTGTCGGAGTCCGACGCAGTCACTTGTGTTAAAAACAGGGACACATGCGGCCAGGGAGGGCCGAGGGGGGGGTGCTCAGGCAGGAATGCCTGATAACAACATTATCACAAAGACTCTGCAAACTCTTTGACCTTACACAAAGGCCACCAAAACCTTGTACAAAAAAGTGCTTCAGTGAGAACATCTGCCGAGCGACTGCCTGTCCAGCCTCAGACCGCCGCCACCCTTGTTACTGATCCCTGTAGCCAAGGAGAATTGATTCAAAGCAGTTATGTAACCCTCTTCGTTTTCCCTTAGAAAACCTTTGTCTTCCTTTGTCTCCCTTGATGTGCACGAAATTTGCTCCAGCACGCGCGTTCCCACTGAGACGCCTATTTCTGAGCTTCTCTGTTATTTAGGTCGACAGGGGGAAGCTCCCAGCCTGCACATCCTTCCTCAGGATGTTACTGTCCTCCAGGGTGGGTGGTTGGTGGTTCACAGGGAGGTAGAAGGGGTGAAATGACATCTTTGGGTGACGAGGGCAATTGTGCAAGAAGCCAGGGGCCGGGTGCTCAGCGTGGGTGCCCCTGAGATCTGAGAGATGCTAGGGGTGCAGGAATGGGGTGTTTTCTAGTTTCCTGGTTTTTTCTAATTTAGAAGCAGCTCAGAGGATGTGAAGGGCTCAGCCCCGGGGCCAGCTGGTGGGTGCAGGGGCCGGGGAGAGATGGGGGAGAGGGTGCACAGAGTGATTCTACCTTTGGGGAGAAGCAGAGGCGTGTGCATACATGCCTGTGCGTGTGCATGCGTGTGCAGGTGAAGGCTGATGAAGGAAGGGAGTGGTAGGGCATTGTCCTGCAGAAGTGAAATGGAAGGAGAGGAAGTGGTGGGAAGGTGTGGTCGCTGCTATGGCCAGGGCCACGCACGTGGGTGCTGGAGGCTTCAGGCTGGGCACAGGACTCGGGGGACAGGCCTGTGAGGGGTGTCTGGGAAAGAGGAGGTGGCTGCCTCCGAGAAGGGCAGTGTCCAGGGGCGGGGAATCGCAGGTGAAGCGAGGAGGAGGACAGGCGCTGGGGAAGGACAGGGAGGCGGGGATGCTGCCCGCCCGCTTCGCCAGGGTGTGAGGGGAGATGCCCGGGCCAGGCCCTGCCCTTGGTTTCCAGCAAGGGCATCCATGGCATGAAGACGACGCTGTGTGGCCGGCGTGGGCCACCCCCACAAACCCCAGCCTGGCGTGAGCAGCCGCCAGGTCGTCTCTGGCGAGGGCTCCGGGCCCTTTCTCGTGCGCACGTGACCGGGCGGGGGGTGCTCCAGCTCCCCGGGCTCTGCCGCCGGGGACGCGCGTCCTGGCGGGTCGGGACCCACGGCGCGGCGCAGCGCGATGCCCTCCCGCAGGCCCCGCGGCCGCGCAGACGCGGGCCCCGAGGGAACCGGTTTCGGGGAGCCCGGCTGAGCGCGGCTGGGAGCCGGCCGGCGAGTCCGTCCCGGCAGAACCGAACCAGCACTGGGGCGCGAGCGCGGCGCGCACGGCTCGGGTGAGCGCGCGTGCGTGACACCTGCACCTGCGGGTTGAGCGCTCGTCACTGAATCAACCCGGTTCCAGCCACTGTCCACAGCGCAGCCCTAGACACTGACGCGACCCGTCAGCGCGGGGCGTCGCAGGGGCCTGCCTGCCCTGCGAGCGAGCGAGAGCGCACGTCCGGAGCTGCAGAGCCCCGCGGCTGTCCGCAGGGAGCCGGGCCTGGCCGCCGCAGAGCGCGGATCCCATCGGAACCCCGGCGCAAAGGAGGACACGGACCCTTTAAGAGGCGCCGACAGCGCGGGCCGTGACGTCATAGGACTGCGGGGGGCGGAGTCTGTGCGCAGCAGCGGCGCGGGGGCGGGGCGGCCCGCTGCCTGACTGACAGGAGCGCAGCCCAGGAGCCGCCCGGATCAGGCCGCCCCCGCAGGCCCGCCCCGTCCGCAGGCCCTGCCCATGCCCGAGGCCACGCCTCCTAGAGAGCCTCTCCTCCGAGCAGACCCCGCCCAGGCCGCGGGCTTCGCGCAGGCCCCGCTCCGCCCCCGGTCTGGTCTCGCTACAGTTCAGGCCCCGCCCCCGCTCAGACCCGGCCCGCAGAAGCCACGCCCTTCCGCTAAGCCCTGCCCCTCGCAGGCCCACGCTCCACCCCCTGCCAGGAATCCTTCCGTTCAGGCGGCATCCCGCGCAGGCCTGCGCTCCGCCCCTGAGCACACCCCGCCCCTCTTAGGCTCCGCCCTTCCCCACCCCGCCCAAACCCCGCCCTGTCCCAGCTCCACGCAGGCCCCGCCCGTCCTCAGACACCGCCCTCCGCTCAGGCTCCCTGCTTCCCCGCGCAGGCCCCGCCCCGCGCTCCGGCCTCGCCCCGGCCCGGGCTCCGCGCAGGCCCCGCCCCGCCCCCGCAGGCCCCGCCCCTGGCGCAGGCCCCGCCTGGCCCGGCTCCGCGGGGCGGGACTCGCCCTCAGCCCGAGTCGGCGGCGGCTGCGGGAACTTTCCCGGCGGGGCTAATGGCTGCGCGCGGGCCGCTGTGAGGCGCGGCGGCGGCGGCGGCGAGCGAGCGCGGGGCCGCGGAGCCGTGAGCGAGCGAGCGAGAGGCCGGACCCGCCAGGCCCGGCCCGACCGCCGCCCGCGATGCGCCCGGCGCCCGCGCGAGCTGACGCGCGGCCCCGCGAGACCCCGCCGGCCCCGGAGGAAGCGCCGCGCCGCCTGCCCAGCGCCCGCGCCGCCCGGCACGATGGCGGGGAAGGCGGCCGCCCCGGCCGCGGTCCTGCTGGTCACGGCCAACGTGGGCTCGCTCTTCGACGACGTAAGTGCGGCCGCCACAGGCCGGCCTCACCCGGTCCCGGTCCCGGCCCAGCCCGGCCCGGCCTCACCGCCCCGGCTCCACAGACCTCACACCCCAACCCGCTGACCCGGCCCTGACCCTGCTGTCGCGGGCCTGGACCCTGGCCCCAGGCCCCCAGAGAGATCCCACCTGTGGACCCGGGTCCTGAACCCTGCTTGAGCCCAGGCCCTGGACCCTTGGGCCTCAGGACCCCAGAGGGATCCCCAACCTGTGGACCCGGGTCCTGAACCCCGCTTGAGCCCAGGCCCTGGACCCTTGGGCCTCAGGACCCCAGAGGGATCCCCAACCTGTGGACCCGGGTCCTGGACCCCTGGGCCCCAAGGCCCCCAGAGAGATCCCCAGTCTGTGGACGAGGGTCCTGAACCCTGCTTGAGCCCAGGCCCTGGACCCCTGGGCCTCAGGTCCCCAGAGGGATCCCCAACCTGTGGACCCAGGTCCTGAACCCTGCTTGAGCCCAGGCCCTGGGCCCCCAGACCCTGATCCTTAACCCTGAGCCTGAAACCTCAAACTCTGAGCCCTGGATCCTGGACTGTCAACTCCGAGACCCTAAATCCCAGGGCCCTGACCCTTGAGCCTAGAACCCCAGACCTCTGCCTCTCAAGCTCCAGACCTCAGTCCCCTGCCCTGATCTCAAGCCTGGAACCTGAAGACTGGGTCCCTGGATCCCTGAATCCCAGCCTCCAAACTCTGGCTGCTGAACCCTAATGCCGAAACCTTGCCTCTGAACCCTGTCTTCAAATCCCGACAGGAAAACTCCAGTCCTTGAATCCTCCCAGTGCTGACCCCTGTTCATGGTGCCTGGAACCCAGACCCCAGAAACCCAGTCTGTGGCATCAGATCCCAAACCCAGCCCCACCTCTGATTCCTGAACCCTCATCCCCAGACCCCTGGCGCTGGCCCTGTCTTCAACCCTGGCCCAGAACCTTGGCCTCAAACCTCTGTCTTGAGTCCCTGAACCCTGGGACATAACCACAGATCCTAACCCCAGAACTGATTCTGAACCCTGTCCCTGGTCCCTTAACTCTGAATTCTAATTCCAGAACCTCAGCCTTCAAACTTGGTCTCTTGCCTCCCAAACCCAATCTAGCCCAACCCTAAACCCTGAATCTCAACTCAAACCCAAACTCCTAGCCCAGAACCCCTGTCCTGGGCCCCTGAACCTGGACCCTACCCCAGACTCCCCCATTGTCCCCCTCCCAAACTCCTACCCCTAAATTCTGAACCTTAGCCCCTAAACCTGGGCCTTGAGTCCTGGGCCCTGAACGCTGGTCCCCACATCCCAGATACAGCTTCTGACTTCTGATCCTGGGCCCCCGACTCTGGGCCCCGGACCTTGGCCCCATATGCCTGGGTGCTTGCCTCTCTTATTTGTGGCCGGCCGACTGAGCAGGGCTCATGGTGTAGGGTACCCTCGTCTTACCCTGTAACTTAGTACCTCTTTTTCTTAAATCGGGGAGTCTGTTGAAAGCCCAGAGAACTTTGCATTTCTTATATATTAAAGAAAAAGATGCAGAAAAGCTCTTCAAGACCAAAAAAGGGATGCTAACTGCCTGAGGCCTCCGCCTTCTAGGGCTGCCCCTACCCAATCGCAGTCCCACCTGAAGCGAGGTGGTGTCTCTGGGGAGACAGGGAGCCCAGGCCCAGGGCACTGGGAGCTCCCAGAGGCAGGCCGAGGCTGCCCTAGTTCAGCGTCTCAGCCACGGTGCCACCCCGCTGTTGGTGCTTACTGCCAACCCAAATAAAGCAGAATGCGGCTCCAAGTGGCACAGATGGAGCTGCGGAGCCACGTACCTCCCTCCCTCCCTCCCGAGGTGGACGGCTTGGTGCAGTGCCAGTGTTGTGATGGATGTGTGCCGCTGATACAAGCACACTCTAGATTTCAGAGAAGGATCTGGGTCTTTGCCGGCGGCAGGCATGGGCGCAGTGTGTCGTTAAGCTAAGTTCAGGCACAGGCTGGGTTTGGTTTTTGTTAATAAAAGTAGGCGCTATTTTGTGTTCTCTTTTCTTTGACTTGTGAGCACCGTGTATCATACTCACCTGGAGATGAGCTCTTTTCCCACGGACTTTGTTACGGCAACTTTATCTAGTTTCGTGTTTGGTAATTTTCTGCAGAAGTGCCTGCATGGGTGTGTGCCTGTGTGTTTAGCATTCTATTCTAGGCTCTCCAGTAACATGTCGCTATAGCATGGTTGGTTCAGATGATTCAGACCCACTGGCTGTGGCTTCAAAGCCTCAGAAATGTCAGGAAAATGAAGCCTGGTGGGGCATTTTAGTCTCAAAGGGAAAAAAATTTTGCTGTGCAAACATTCTTTCCAGTAATCTTTAATTCTGAGTTCTAGCATTTTTGCTGGGTTTCAGCTGTATACATGTATTTCTGTCTGTTGATATTAAAATGGTAACTTAATTCACGTGTGTTGAGCAGCATGTTTTCCTGCATTGTCACTCTTTCTAAGGCTGTGTGGAATTCTGCATTACGTTTACACCTAGAAGAACACATGTTTTAGAAAACAGTAAGCAGGTTAATCCTGCAAGATGTGTCCTGAGTGAGGGGTAAGTAGAGAAGCACCTGTCAGGTTTATTACTGTGTGGGGTGCAGCTCCCAGGGGCAGGAGCTGCCCCCTCTGGTGGCCTGCGTGAAGCTGGGGCACCAGGTGGAAACAGTCAGTCATTTCCGGTCGGGGCCTCCTTCCTGGGTTCGGGTTTGGGATATGGTGCTTGTGGGATAGATGCTTGGCCTGTGAAAGCGAGTTCTTGGGTGAAGTGCTTTTTAGTTCCTTGGTTTGTATTAATGGTAGATTTCAGAAGCTCTGCTTCGTGACTCTGTTTGCCTTTGCGAGACACGTGCCCCTGTTGCTGAACATGCTCTGCAGAGGGCTGAGGCCCGTGAAGGAATTCTCTCTCCTTTGCTTCCGTCGTCTCAGAAACCAACTAACTCCCAGCTCCGACAGTGGCCAGTGCACCAGCTGCTTCCTCGGGGGGTCGCGGTTCCCAGGAGGAAGGTGTCTGAACCTGAGACAGATGTGCTGGCCGTGGTGAACACCGTTTTCCTTTTGTGCACAAGGGACAGGTGGTTCGCTTTTGTGCAGTTTTGAACGTCTCCCCTCACAAGCCCCCTCGTCCTCCCCACCTGGAAGTCAGCCTCTGGCTTGCCGCCAGTGTGCACCCGAATCGTTTGTCCTGGGCATCCTGGGATCAACACGATGTTTTGTTCGTCACTGCTGCTGGCCTCGTTTTGTCCCCAGGACACCATGCTGCAGTCTGCTGAGCTGTCCCTCTGAGGATTGTCCCAGTTCCTTCTAATGCTTTGATGCAGAGACGGCGTTGCGGTAAATGCCTCACAACACATGGGTCTTCAGGCTTCTCTCCCTCACGTTCTGAGACTTACGGAGGGCCCAGAGCGTCCTTGTTCACGTAGGCCTTAACTCCAGCGTTTCCCGTGTGGAGGTTGAAGCTGAACTGTCGGAGGACAGGAACACATTGTGCACACGGCAGGGGTGACGCCTCCACACGCCACGTGCCCTCTGCGAAGCCCCCCCCCCCACTGGGGAGAGAAGGAGAATGGGAGGGAATCACTTCGTAGTACTGTGAAAATAGTTTGACTGAGGTCACTCTGTGAAAAGGTCTCCTTGGCCCACACGCTGGGACCTCTGTCTGGACTGGTGACCCTCCCACGTCTTCCTGCACATCTCCCCGGGCCTAGAAGTGGCTGGGGGTGCCCGTCCCCCTCCCAGGTTTGTCGCAGTGCCTGGGGGGCTGCCCTCAGTGAGTCCTGTGGCTGCTCTTTAGTTCCCAAATCAGGTTCCTGCTGTCACTGCCCACTAGCCGGCCAAGGGCTGGTGGGGGGGGGTCCACACCTACCTCTTTCGCTTGCTGTGGCCGGTTGGACAAGTGAGTTCTCTGGCCTTTGCTGCCTTACGTTTATATTAGGGGTGAACCAAGAAGTGAACTCTTGCCAGCTGTGGTTTCAGAGCTTGGTCCCACCCCCACATAGACAGTTTCTCTGGGAGGAGACTTAGGCCAGCGGTAGGGTCCCGAGGGCACAGCTGGCTCCGGGGTGCCTGCTCGGTCAGCTCCTGTGCAGCCCTGCCCTCTGCCTGCTGCACACCCGTGGAGCGGCAAGGGGCTCGGCAAGGGGCCGTCAGCAGGGACCGAGGGCCTTCCCACCCGCAGGTGCTCCTGAGCCCTGGGAGCGTACAGCGGCGACCTCGGGGTGGGTGTCCCCCTCTCCTGGGACTTCAGTGTTGCCCTCGTTTCTAGATGGTTCTGTCACCGTCCAGGGTCCTACAGTTTCTTCCACTTTGAAAACGCTGAAGCCCCATCCCCTCCAGCCCTACTGCGTGTCCTAGCCCTGCTCCCAGCAGTCCCCCGGCCTCAGCCCGTTACAGGGGCCCCATGCGGGCAGCGCCCAGCGGCGTCCTCTGTCTGGCTCCGTGGACTCCTGTTCCAGGACTCTGTCTGGCAACGGCTCTGCGGAGGCAGAGTCCACACACAGAACTCTCCACACGCGGTACTCTCCACACGTGGCACTCTCCCACTTGAAGGGTGCAGCTCATCGGTTTATGGTGTAGGCACAGGGTGGGCAACTGTCAGCACAATCAATTTAGAACGTCTTTATCACCTCGGAGGAGACCCTGTACGCATAACCCCCCGCCGACACCCTAGCCTGACAGCCGCCAGTCTACACCCCGCCCTGTGGATTTGCCTGCCTGAGTGTGACACGGAGGGGCATCGTGAGAGCCCTTTGCATCTGGCGTCTTCCAGCGGGCACAGCGTTTGCCAGGTGCATCCACAGCGCAGCCTGCGCCCGCCTCCTCCCTCTTTACGGCCGAGGGACACTCGAGTTGTAATGTGACCCGTTTTGCTTTTCATCCCCCCGGCGATGGGTTTTGGCTGTTCCCACTTTCCGATTATTGTGAACAATGTGCTGCGGTGACACGTTTTCAGTTCTGTTGGCTGTGCCC